CTTCATAGACTGACGTCGGAGGGACAAACCCTACCAGGACATTCGCTATAAACAAACATTGACAAAAAAACAAGTACAAATGAAGTTAATAATAGAAACAATACCAGTTCAATAGGAATACATAAACAATTATTCACTACTTTAAAGTAAATGACTAGTTCATGGGATTGGAAAAACCGATTTGTAGGCACGCGCCGGTCTGACCCTGTATTGGGATGATGATGCCATATTGTGCTGAGATCAAACCTGTGTCATTACTAGTGTTTTTATTATTATTTATGTTTATATCACAAAGGTAAGTATTTTGTTATCTAAGCCCACAAAAGCGTTGGAATGGTTTAACTCCGGGGTCGAGTTGCTAGACATAATTAAACTGTCAAACACCAAGCGGTCACCGGTGACCGCAACCTATTGTTCTATAATTGTGTCTACAAAGACGGTACTCGACGAGTTAAATGTACTTATATTTAAATGTTATACAGACTGCCTCGTTGGCCGAGTGGCCGCAAGTGTATCTGCCAAGCAAGGGGTCTCCGGTTCGATTCCCGGGTAGGGCAAAGTATTACTGGGTTTTTAAAAAATCCCAGTAGTAGCACGGAGTCTGGAATCGTCCCCGGTATATGGCAATAGGCTCACCCACTATTACATGGGACTCATAACATATATAGTGAAAAGTGGGTGTTAAATTGTATAGTGGTGTAATGTGCACCTCTGCCCCTTCGGGGATAAAAGGCGTGATGTTATGTTATGTTATACAGGCGTTGAAACTTATACCTACTTAATATTAGGGCATTTCTAAAAATAATATGACTGCAATTTACGTTTAAACCTATTTGAATTAGTTTCACTCCTTAAGTCTGCCGGCAGACTACTTAATAGATATGGTTTTTTTTAAGGGGGGAAAATCATCGTATAACTGCTCCCGCCTGGGTGAAGCGGGAGGGAGTGTCAGACTCTTACTGACTAAAAACCACCTCGTTCCTTCTCCTGCACGTCGAGTCGGAGCCCCGGTAGCCAGTTATGTTCTCCGCGACTAATAGATATGGTATTCTCTTTTTAAGTGTTCTATCACCAAAATAGTTGGTGACTCTGGGTTCATTTCATCTACCAGCAGCTATAGTTCATGTGTTATGGTTGTTCTTTATGTAAGATAAGTTACGCTCCTGAGTTGTCACTATGTGTCCAGATTTACGTAAGACATCCCGATTTTCAATATTCTGAAGACGCGTCCCGATTTGACCAAGATCGGGACGCCAAATGTCCCGATAAATCAACTAGATTATTCATATACGGTAATCTCGATAATCAACATATACGGTACTGCCACGTGACATTATAGCTTTAGATTATTAAAAACCCACAACCGTGCAGTTTTTATCAAACTTTCTGCCTCTCACAGTATAATTGTGATCGAAACTGATTGGTGGTATTTTCGCATCAAAACCACCTTCAAGAAAAACATAACATAACATAACATAACATAACATCACGCCTTTTATCCCCGAAAGGGTACAAAAAGGTGCACATTACGGCACTTCAAGAAAAAAACGTATTTATTTCTAAAATAATGAGCAGCAGTGGTCGGTTACCATCAAATATGTTCCGCCTGTTCAATTGTGCTCTTTTCAAAAAAAAAAGACGGAAAATGTTAAACTTTTAGTAAAAATTGAATCGTTTCTGTTATCAGTTATCGAGATAATACAAGTGTCCGGCGTTAGGTACCGTCCGGCGTTACAGGACTTTCCCCTACATACGATACATTATAACAAAATAATACCTATTTTTTACAATTTTTTTTCAGTGTCTGTTTGTACTGGCTAATCACTTAAATGGCTGAATCGATTTTGACGGGGCTTTTTGCCATATAACTTGATCAGCATAGTAACACCCGTTCAGCAGAGTTGTCAGATGGCAGGTAGATCGGCGGGCGATATGGAGATTGTAGTCAAGGAAACTCGAATAATTGTCAAACCAATTGATGCTACGGAGCGTCTTTATTACACTGATTAATATAAAATTACATTATAATAATAAAAACTAGGTCATGCGTCTAGTGACGTCAAAGTGTCAAAGAACTCAAATAAAATGTACAGTGTTAGCTTGTACATAACTGATGTACCTAATAAGGAGTAAGTTAGGCTACTTTTATTTTATAAAATCGCGGGTGATGCAAGTATAGCTAGAAATCGTGTAAAATTACACTCAAACCAATTTTACCATATAAGGTAAACGATCAATTTTAAACATCATCTCACCTAATTGTTGTCAGCACAGTCTGATTCAGATACAAATTGTGACAAAAAACCTTGGTATTTCCAGGTATTTAATGCCTATTAATTATAATGATATCAATCAGGTCTTCCCTTAAACAGGATATCGGAGTGAAGTGGCGTTTTCAAGAAATATTTGTACTCATTTAGGTAATTCGTAACATAGAGGTACATTTATAGTAAACAAGATCATTTGCTACATTTCCAAGACAAATATTTAAGTATTATTACTATCCGATCCGATATCCGAATTCATTTCGTTGATACCGCATCGCTCCCTCCGAACTCTGCACCTATTTTTTTTTTAAGGGTGGAAAATCATCGAATGACTGCACCCGCTTGGGTGAGGCGGGAGGGAGTGTCAGACTCTTACTGACTAAAAACCACCCCGTTCCTTCTCCTGCACGTCGAGCCGGTTACCCGTTAGGTTCTCCGCGACTCCGAATCGGTTATGCGATCCGAGCGATCCCGTGATCGGATCTCTGCAGCTCCGATATTATTTGGCTAAGATTACAACAAACTTAACAAATGTTTGTTTTAGTTTTACATACCTAGTCAGTGTACTTAGTCTATCAGTACCTGGGTGTTTCTTCAAAAAACTTTATCTTTTATTTAACAAATCATTATCTTCCCGCGTTGTTAAGCATCGCAGTAACTTATTAGCATCTGTATTTTATTGCATTGGGTGAGAGCAGTGACATGGCTCAATTTTTTGAAACTAAACTTTGTATTTTAATCAGTAGAATTGTTAACTGTGGCTTAAGGATAATGATGCCGTTAATTTTTTTGTTTTTTTTTGGAGAATCACCCACCTACATTAAATAATGTATATCTACCACAGTTTACTGAATATTCATTATACTTTTTAATGTTTGTGCGCAATTATCACGCGATTGACTAAACCGAATTTGATGCGGTTTTCAGAAAAGGGTTTGTTTCTTTTATGGAATATGAGGCAAACGAGGTGACAGATCACCTGATGGTAAGCGATCAGCGCCGCCCAGTACACCCGCAACACCAGACGAGGGGCAGGTGCGTTGCTGGCCTTTAAAAAAAATATGCTCTTTTCTTGAAGGTTTGTTCCCGTGTGTATGTACATGAAAGAAATAAACAAACTGTATGGTCATTCACCGTATACAAGTATATGCAGTTACGTTGAGCCTCGTGCCGAAGGTACGTAGGGTTTTTCCCTCAGTGAACCAAATACTTTTTAGGAGTGTGTGGCTATGTGCAAACTGTAATACCTATTACTCAATAAAGTAAGTAACTAGTAACTAGTACTATTGAGTAATAGGTATTACAGTTTGCCCATAGCCACTTACGAGTGTAAGTATGAGTATTTACGGTACATAGTTTACTATTCGTTTTATTTGTTTCTTATTAAACTGTCAAATACCAAGCGGTCACCGGTGACCGCAACCTATTGTTCTATAATTGTGTCTACAAAACCGGTACTCGACGAGTTAACTAGCTTATGTGTCGTGGTAGCCTGGAGGTTTAAGACGCCCGCTTCTCATGTAAGTGTGCGGGTTCGAAAGCTACCAATGTGACTTTTTCCGAGTTACATGTACTTTTTCAGAATATCCTCCTCCTCCTATTACCTAATTATACAGTGGCATTAAGTGCCGTATTGTGTACCTCTACCCATCTCTCCGGGGATAAAAGTCGTGATATTATGTTATGTTAATTGTTCTAGAATTGTTATCCAAGTTTATTTTACTTTAGTCACTGCTGTTTAGTTACAAACTAAACAGCTACATAATTATACAATTTAAATCAATTTTCCCGACTTCAAAAAAGAAACAGTAAGGTCATTCGCCGTGTATGAGTACCTAGACCTACGTCGAGACTCGTGCCGAAGCTACGATGGGATTTTCCCTCAGTGAATCAAATATTTTATTGGGTACAAGGAATTAAGTACCGTAATGTGCACCACTACTTACCCCTTCGGGAATAAAAGGCGTGATAGCATGTTAAGTACCTAATAAAATTTACCTTAGCACAATAATTTATAATTTAAAGCTGAATAATGAATAAATTACTTCGCGCTCTTTATAAAATTATGCTGCGTGCATCGAACGTCGGAACCAATCTCAGCAGCTTGCTTATTTAACTACAAATGGGTTAATTATATTCATAGACCTAAATAGCGATAATAGAAGGTACAATGACCCAAATAACAAGTCTTTTAGAGGGCAAAGATCGTACCCACTGTGTCTATAGTTATAATTTGGTTTCGTTTATTTTTTGTTCATTGTTGTTTTTATCGAGTTTTTTATTTAGCTATGGAATAACTTAGAGTGTAGGAGAGCCATGCTTTGGCACAAATTGGCCGGCTCGACCGCAATGATAACCACCGATGAACAATGCCTCACAGAATACCAATGTGACACAACTTTGCCAATTTGCTTGCGTTGTGTTTCGTCGTGTGAGTGAGATTACCGGAGGCCCAATTATCCCCCTCCCCCCTCCCCAGTCTATCCCAATCCATGGATCCCCCACAATCCTCAAAGTCACCGTTACCGGCTTTTTGGGGATTAGGAGTTTGAGGATTCGCATTCGCATTCGCAAGGATTCCCATTCGTGCCGAAGCATGGCTCTCCCACACTTAATGTTTAAACGATTATAATCGTCTCTAGGGATTCCTTGTGAAAAATTAGGTAAGGGATGGGTTTAGGGACTATTTTATGATGATGTTAATGTTAGTATTTGCTAATTTCTTTTCCACAGGTAATTCAGAAACTCCTGTATTTGACGAAAAGAATAAGGATCATTGGAATATGCAAGCACAATGGATATTACAAACAAAGGTATTTGTTCTAGTATATTTATTTATTATACGACAAGATAACAAGGTTGTTTGTTTGAACGCGGAAATCTCAGGAACTACTGGCACGTTCCGAAAAAATCTTTTTGTTTTGGGTAGTTTATTTATCGAGGAAGGCTAAGGACTATGAAACATAACGCTACGACCAATAGGTGCTGAGCAGAGCGAATAAAACTGTGCAGAGTAGCTAGTGTGTAATAAATTTAAATTATTAATTTTATTTTAGCATTTATGGTCATCAAAAACTAAACGTGGATACAAAATTGGTCTCTTAATCGGATGAAAATACCTGCTAAATTCACTTCAGACACACACATACATAAATTGCAAGTAAAATAAATGAATGAAAGAAAATTGCAAGTAGATAGAAATACTGAGCTCGAATTTGATCCTAAGATCTGGTGAAATATGATAAGGTTTTTTGGAGGCACGTAGTCTGAAATTGTGCCCTATATTTGGCAATAGGCTCGCTAGCAAAATGGAACGAATGATAGGTTTAGGTAATAGTCGTAAAACGTGAGTGTGATGTAGGATGTAGGACGTAGGTACTCGCTACATTTCAGAATATTATTTCAGGAATGAATAATTATTTTTAAATTTAATTTAAGTCCTTATTTCATCTTTATAGAAACTATTTTCTAGTTGAATATTAAGGTGCTCCCTCACCGGGAGTATTCGTGTGTAATGTAACGTTACAGATCTGAGAATTACATCAGTAAAGGAGGAGAACCGAGCATTACAATGCGCACCTTGTAATGATACAATGTGTAATATCTTGATACAACTTATAACATCAAGTTCTGACATCTTGCTATGAAATGCTCAAAGTCGAATCTATATGTTACATTGCACGCAAATTTTCGTTAGTCAGGGAGGCATTATTGTAATTTAATGCTCAAAGTCGAATCTATAATGTTACAATACACGTGAATGCTCCCGGTGGGGGAACACCTTTAGGACTAAAGTGAATATTAAATACGGGTATTAGAATTTTTAAGGTTTTATTTTGGTTACGGGCTACTGAAATTTTGAACATTTATACATTATTGGCTTGACCTAGACTTAGACTTTAAAGACGGTCTCTTTATTGAATTCAGTTTGTTAATACCTTTTCAGTCAAAAACGTATAAAGCAAATATAACTGTTATTAGATTTTTTTAGGGACTGCCACTTTGACTTAGTCGTTGACTCGAATTACGACTGGCGGGCAAGTGGTCTCGGGTTCGATTCCCAGGTCAGGCAAAGTATTCTCAGTAGTAATACGGAGTCTGGAATTTTGCCCGGTATATGTCAATAGGCTCACCCCCTATTACATGGGACTCATAACATAAATAGTGAAAAGTGGGTGTGACATTGTACAGTGGTATTAAGTGCCGTAGATAATGTGCACCTCTGCCTACCCTTTAGGGGATAAAAGGCCTGATTTTATGTTATAAATTTTTTATTCGTGTTAATGAAAATGCTAATTAAGTGAAATCATTTTTATATTCCAGTTATCCAATCACTTAAACACGAAAGTAGCAAAGAACGTGATCCTGTTTCTCGGAGACGGGATGAGCATTACCACCCTGGCTGCCACCAGGGTGTACCTGGGTCAGAAGTATGGACACCTGGGTGAAGAACTTAAGCTGAGCTTCGAAGCTTTTCCTTATACGGGTTTATCTAAGGTATTTAGACAATCAATTTTTTGAAATTTTTGTGCCTTCAGGTTTAATTCATTCTGTCTCCTACAGTAATTCATCGAGGGAAATTGAAACTATCGTTAACAAGGCAGTTATTAATGTCCCTGGGACGTGCCGTGTTCCGGTGTTTTCATGGTTGTATGTACTGTAGGTCCTGGCTTACAGGAGTTGCAGCAGTTTTGGGAGGATGTGGCGGGCTTGTCCCACTAAAAAATCATGGAATGACGAAACAAATTATCTCTGACCATCACTCAATCACTCATCACTTTGAATCGATTTTTGGAAAATTATGGATGAAATTTTTTAACGATATAATTAATTTATCCTTAATCCCCATTACTTTGAGTCAATTGACAGTTTGGTTTTCCAATTTCCAAAGAATCAAATTTTCGGTTCGTCTGATGAAAAGTTATTTCAAGGCCTCAATACAATGTTACAAGCTTAATACAAAATTTAAAATCTTGAAACAAAATCTGCCAACTTTTTAAAAATGTGCTTTTAATACATTTTCAGACTTACTGCGTAGATAGTAATGTCGCTGATTCTGCGTGTAGTGGCACTGCTTACCTCTCAGGGATAAAGGCCAACAGTGGGACTGTGGGACTCAGTGCGGCTGTCAAACGTGGGGATTGTAAGGGACAGAGAGATGGCCTGCATTCTGTTACTGGTCTTATGGACTGGGCCCAAAAAGCTGGGAAAGGAACCGGTGAGTTACTCAAAAATGTTGGTTCTGAAGTGATTATAGACTAAACTTAAAAACACGATTTCCATATTATAATTTGTTTTACAATGATCTAGGCTAATCTGTATTAGACGAAGGAAAATATAATTCGGTATATCGATGGTAAAAGGTAATTCACATAGTCTTAAACTGTCAAACACCAAGCGGTCACCGGTGACCGCAACCTATTGTTCTATAATTGTGTCTACAAAACCGGTACTCGACGAGTTCAATGTTTTCTTTTATCTTACAGATACATACTACTTGTTTGTTTCATTGTTTGCTTGTTTCAAGGCGCTAATCTACGGAACTGTTGGTCCGATTTGAATAATTCATTTTGTGTTGGATAGTCTATTTATCGAGGAAGGCTATAAGCTAAACATCATGCTAAAATCAATAGGATCCGAACAGAGCCGGCGAAACCGCTAGTTTGTTTATAAAGAGACCCTAAGCCCATCTACAGTTTTAAGGCTTATGGCTCACAAAGATACTAAAATTTTTATCCATAATTTCTTCCAGGCCTTGTAACCACAACGAGAGTGACACATGCTACTCCAGCGGCAGCATACGCTCACTCAGCAGACAGGAGATGGGAGACTGATAATGAACTGCCGAAGAAAGGACTTCGTTGTGAGGATATCGCTACCCAGATGGTGAAGGGACAAGTTGGCAGTAAAATTGATGTAAGTATCATTAGTGTTGACAATTGTGGTATGTCCTATTGTAATAAAAGGTTTGACTAAATAACAATTGGAAAACAAAATTTTATATCACAGCCTTTCATCCCCGAGGGATAGAGGTGCACATCACGGCACTTAGTCTTACTGTACATTGTAACACCCACTTTTTTTTCTATTTGTGTAATAAGTCACATGTATATAACGTACCTAGAAGTGATATCATACGATAATTTTATCGTGTCATGATGTATCGTTTAAAGTACTTGTTTTCGTAAGAAAATAAAATGCATCTAATGTTCCAAAATGACCTATCAGACGGACATTACAATACGAATTAGTCATTTAGCCTATTCTCTGTCAGACCCATTATTTTGTACATACTATACTGTCTATAAAACAAACATCCGTTTTCCAGGTCATACTAGGAGGAGGGCGCAGAAACTTCTTCCCCAAAACTCAGACTGATCCTGAAGGGTACCGTGGCTGCAGAAGTGATGGCGTAGACCTCATAAGAGAGTGGAAGAAACGAAAGGAAGCCCTGGGAGTCTTTCCTAGATTTGTGTACAATAAAGAAGGACTCTTGAACTTAGATGATTCCCTATATCATAGTGTTTTAGGCCTATTTTCCCCTGACCATATGCCCTATCATTTGGAAGCGGGCGATGATGACCCAACTCTAACTGAAATGACTCAGAAAGCTATACTAATGCTGAAGAAGAAGAAGAATGGGTTTTTCTTGTTTGTTGAAGGTTAGTATAAATAAATTTCAACGAATTAAGTCACTCAATATTTTTATTGCATTCCACACGTGCCTGCTATTAATTTGTTATTATCCTTTTGAGGTAACTTCTGCCGATTTAGGAATGTAAAACTATTTGGTTTGTTTTCCATATTTTGTTCTTGTGTATTAAGTCATTGACTACTGAATTATTATTACCTACAAATCGAACAATGAAATCAATCTATATAGGTAATATAAAAGAAAGTTGTGTTAATTACACTGTTTATAAGTCAAGAACGGCTAAATCGATTTGGATGAAAATCAGTGGTGAGGTAGACTAGCACCGGGAGACGGTCATAGGATACTTTTTATTAAATATATTTTTGTTTACTTTTTACCGAAAATTACGAACGGGAACAGGATAAAACGGGATTGCGCGTACGTCGTACGTCGTACGTAAGTCGTGGGCAGAAGCTAGTATTAAATAAATAAACTTTTGATTACCTATTTAACTATATTTCATATATCAATGTTTGCAGGAGGAAGAATAGACACAGCTCACCATGAGACTAAAGCACGTAAAGCGCTAGATGAGACCGCTGAATTTGCTAAAGCGGTTGAAGCGGCTTTAAGACTAGTGGACTTACAGGAGACGCTAGTCGTAGTAACTTCTGACCATAGCCATACTATGACGTATAGTGGGTATAGTAAGAGAGGTTCTGACATTTTAGGACTGGTTAATAGGGTAAGAATTTATATATATTCAATTTAAATATGCTATATTAATTACTTCTGCGTAGTTTTACCCGCTCTGTGAGTGATCGATCGACATTGGTATTGTGTAATTTCATACTCTTGAGTTGCAACACTAGCGTTCATTGCATCTATATTGCGTGGATACTTATTGAACTAAATGGTATTGAGTTTCGCTTTATATTCCGTATTCTGAATCTGAATGTTATTTTAATAGCTGCGGTAGGGGTTGTTTTTGACATTGAATAATAATTGAGATTTTATTAGATTAAAATAGCATTGACATTGAGATTGATTTCAAAAGTAAGCACCCTGCTGCATATTATTCGATAAATAGACTATCCAGCATAAAAAGAATTGTTAAATCGCACTAGTAGTTTCAGATATTAGCGCATTCAAACAAACAAACTCTTCAGCTACACATAATAAAGGTATAAGATTATTTTAGCGAAAGAGCAATGTATTTTGAAATGTGATCAGTGATACTCACGTCACTTTTATTCATGTTCTGTTGTTTGATCATACTTGGTCACAACTTCAGACCAAATACCTGTTTAAGGTACGTCTTTGGGAAGCACAGAAAATCGATACTAATATTATAAAGTTGAAGAGTTTGTTTTTTGGTTTGCTTGTTTCGGAGATAACTACTGGTCCGATTTGAAAAAATCTTTCTGTGTTGGATAGCCCATTTATCGAGGAAGGCTATATATAGGCTACAAAATATCACGCTACGATTAATAGGCGCCGAGCAGAGCGAGTGAAACCGCGCGGAAGTAGTTAGTTTAAAATAATTCGTGAGATGGTTTGTGTATTATGGCCTACCGTAAAATGGGGTGGATAGGGATCAAGAGGTGAATGGAGACAGGAGAGGGGTGAATAGATATTGAGATATACTTCATAGTATCGATACACCCCTCTTCTGTCCCTATTCACATACAAAACATACTTTTTTAAAAAAGAGTAACGAATGAAGTTTCTTGCTCGTTCTTCTCCATTCGAATGTACATTTTGGAATGAGCACCTAGCTTCACCTAATTTCACTGACGGACTGACTTACAGACTATTGTTTATTTTGTATTTGTTGACGTTTGAAAAGTACCAAACTATGGTTTAATTGAAATAAATGCTTTGACTTGACTAGACTCACATCTTTATCCCTATTCACCCCATTTTATCGCTACCTTAGGATTACTTACTTTATGCAAATGTTTATCTCTATTGTGTCTTGCAGAATAATGCATCGGATAATTTGCCGTATGCTACCCTGAGTTATGCCAATGGACCAGGATACAAGGAGGCTGGCAGGTTCCACCGGTACAATCTAGCGAAGGATGACTTCAGTAAGTAGAATCTACATAATTATTATTTGAGCTTCTTTTTGCATGTACCTGTATTCTTGTCTACGTGTGTATCGTGGCGTAATAAATGGTTTTTCTTTCCTTATTTATTATTTCTTGTATCATTGTGTAGTGAAATAGCGTAAAAAACATTGTTCTAGGGATAAAATAAAGGATGGTTGACTTTTTATCAATCACGTCCCATGTTAAGGAGTAAATAAGCCACGTTTTTTATGGTAAAACTAGGCAAACGAGTTGAACAACTTCCAGAAACTGTAAAACTGTAAAACTGTAACTGTAAAATATTTCTTTAAACAGTATTGTTTGTTAGTCATATTTATGGCTGATCTATCGCGTAATTATGAACTCTGAACTTAGGCATGGAATCTCGACAATCGATTAACCTGATATAACCAAGAAATGAAGATAAAATACCGTGTCTAAGCCTTCTTGGTAATGACAAATCATTTTCTACAACTATTGATAGACAGTAGGTAGAAGAGCCCATCAGTGGCTCGAAACAAAAAAATTTCACGTGAGCAATCTGCAATTTTTACTTAATAAACTATTAATCAATTACAGATGACGTAAACTACACATACCCGTCTTTAGTGCCGATAAATCGGGAGACTCATGGAGGAGAAGATGTTGCAGTCTTCGCAAGAGGACCCTGGTCACATCTTTTTACAGGCAGTTTTGAGCAAAATTTTCTACCTCATGCCATAGCATACGCCTCATGTATAGGCCCTGGACTCACTACCTGTAAATCAAAATCTAGATCACCGTAAATATTAAATTTTTTTAGTAAAATTCCCAGCCCCGAACTCGGAACAATGTTGAAGTTTTTCCGAGTTTGGGTGTCGTTCCACCTAATTTTTCTTACTTTGGGTGTAACGTTTCCGACTTTGGGTATAATGTTTGGGTATGTTATACCCAAACTCGGAATTATTTTGTTGTTGTTTGTAGGATATTTGTGCTAAAAGATAAATTTTCTTATTATGATGCTGGATCATTATTATCGACTATTATTATTTGTATGATGATATATTGTTTCAAGACGTTTTTAATTTTTGACCTATTGTGACATTAATTATGTTCAGGTTAACGACATTTTATCTGAACATTTTAGTAGTCTAAGGTTGATGCTGAATATTAATCAGTTGACCTTATTAAGATTCAGTGCGTTTGAGGCGTTTAAGCTAATGAGTGGAACAATTGCAACAAACTTTTCAAGCACCCATTATGGATACTTTCTAGACTTCATTATGGATTTATAAATCTTACTATCTGATTTTACTCTCAGCCTAAATGGACTATTATAATAAAAGGTTCTTGTTAATCACCCATCTTTAAATCGACCTTGGTCAGCATGGCTTAACATAAAATGCGGTTGGGCCGCACTGTAATTTACTCACAAGTCTATCTTTTAATGATATCTAAAGTTCGAATAAGACTATTAATGAACGAAGCAATTTATTTCTTTCCTTTTAAAATACAATTTTCCGGTTTTCCCTACTTTTTAGTAGACACTTCCTCAGACCGACCGCTACCAATCATTCTGAAGAAAAAAATGTAAAGGAATTTAATCCTTATTATTTGATTATGCTAATGCGATTTCTCGCAATTTTAGAATACATTTTTCGATTAAATTCAAGCAATTTTGAACTTTATCAACAAATTATTACAGAGCCTTATCGCAAAACGTATCTGATTTATATAATATTTACATTCAAAATAGAGCTTTATTTAATTTCTATTGTGGTTTGAAATCGTTTGCTTTAGGTGTATTGTATTTGTAAATATAACACGTAGTCAGTATTTTAATTACAAAAGTAAATATTTCGTTCGTAATTTGTTGAATTGTTTAAATTAAATTAGGCATTTCATTTTTGTATGTACCTATTTGAAATTCGAATGAATATTTACCATTAATTTTTGAATACATCATTTATTTTGCAAGTATTTTAACACGATATTATTTCAACATTATTCTTGATTTTAAGGCTGCATTAATTGATTAGTATTTCATAGAAATGCAACATAAAATCTTTATTTTCCTTAGACATCGTAATTGTTACACCAAATTATTTTTTAAACTTGAAAATTATTGAATACACAAAATTTTTCAAATAGCGTGTAATTTTAATGGAGTGTGAAGAATAATAAGGCACATTGCTAAAATATGCGTTTAATTTTTTTTATACAATTATCAAACACAAAAATATTATTTATGACTCTTGTACAGTTTAAAATAATTAATTATAAGTTATGTCTTAAGTTAGTTTTGATTTTAAATATAAGTAGATAGTAACAGTGGCGTGCAGTCCATATAGGCGAAAAGGCAATGCCTACCTATAAATATCGTGAATATATAACATACATATAATGTACAAACGCGTTTATTAAAATTCAATAATATAATAAAAGTTTGTAAAAAAACGGCTAACATAAATACGCGCCTTTGTAAAGTAATGAATGCGCCCCGCACGCACCACGCATGCGCCACTATTCCTTAAATCTTGGTTGGCAGTAGTGACGTCACAAAAGAAATGTACCAAAAGTATGCACCGCGCATGCGTGAAGTTCACGACCATAGTCACGGTACAGAATAACCATTCATAATTATATTACGCGATTCCTGTTGATTGACAAAATGTTTGCAACTAAAAAATTAGAGGACCGTTCGTTCATCACTTGGAAAACGATCGTATTTTATTAAGAATTCTAAATACAATAAAACAACAACAAGTTATTGTATTTTTAAAAACAATTAAATCATAAAAGGATTTAAATTGATAAAATTTGTATGTATATCGTAAAGTACTGATGAATGGAGTACACCAGCGCCATCTATTGAATTTTTTGTTGAAACTTCTGAACTCGTTCGATATAATGCGAATGTATTTTTATAAATGCGTATTTAACAAATATTTTTCAAGTGTTTTAATTAAAGTTTAACATTTTTACGCGTTGTCGGTTTATAGAAATTTTAAACGAGGAGTTGACTTTATTATTATAAAAGTTAAAAGGAAGTTATTGATACGTCAAGATGGCGCCATTTACAACGTTTCAAATTATATGAATGAATGTTTTTTAGTATGAAATATTGGTTTAAGACGATGATGCAATTTCATTTGACTTACTAAATTAACGTTTGTTTTTTTGAAATTAAACGCTGCGTTACCTTAATTTTTAAGCTACATTTTTTTTATAATAAACACTCAATTGACTATTGGTAATGACTTCAATTCATTTCCAATGTTTTCGGCCATATTGTTTTCATGTGATGTGCGATCGCTTTGTTTATGTTTTCGTTTAAATTATTAGGAATTAGTTTTAAACATAAAGTTGCATAAATGTGTAGTAGTAGTTAAATATATGTGTAGGTTTTTCAAATAGTGTATTTGTTTCTCAGTTTCTAGTACAAGTACCTATATTATTCGATTGTGAAGTGTGTGTGAATAATAGGTAATTTTATGTGTTTGTTGAAAGTAAAAACAGTAAGATTTCGCAATGTCCTTTATCGGACTAGATTCAGGTAATGACCATAGGCAGAGGTGTACTCGAGTTACGAGAATTGACCCAAGTAAAAGGTAGGTAATGTAAATATGTACTATAATGGATCTTTTATTTGATTTTCTTGTTTATTGTTTGATAATTCTTAAAAATATCAACTTAGACTTCGGGTTGTACTGATTCACATATTAATTTATTATTAATATTTATGTAATGTAGTAATAACAAATGTACCGCATAGACTCGGCCGGCTCGGCCACAGCCGGCCGCGCTTGTTATTGTTTTGTTTGTTGACATAATGTAGGTACCTACGCTCTTAAATTCGTAATATATTATGATTTTGACCAGATTGATTAACCTTAACAATTCCATAATGAAATTTGGTTCATCAAATTTATGCTTCATTATTAAAATAAATAATAGATCTTTCATTATTTGTAAGTTTTGTTGGCTTATTCAATAGCTGATGAAGTACTTCACAAAAAATACGCGAGATGTCAGTGTATGTAATTTGGCGAAACAATACACCACAATATTCTTGAACGCACTTTTCAAAATATATTATGTACATGTACCTATCTTGTGTGAGCATGATTGTATGACCGGCGGGGGGGAGGAGTTTAATCATACGATATTTAGTTGCCTACCCTGTCTCGAAAACCTGTGCACGCCACTGGATAGTAAGTATTTTTATACGATAATTTGGTAATAAATAAATTGTATTAAAACTATTTTTTTTCTGTATCCATATCTCTTAAACATAAAAAGTCTTATTAGCCTATAAATATATCTACCACTGCTGAGGAAAAGTATCTTCTAGCACGGGGAAGGATCACAGTTCAACCTATGAATACTGTAAATGAGTAAGGCAACCGGAGGCCAGTCAGATTTGAGGATAAGGGATCCTCAAATCTCGAAATCCCAAATTTTTTTGAGGTTGATCCAAAAAAGTGTCTAAAAAGCACTGTTCTTTTATGTGATCAGCCGGTAAACGAGCAGACGCATCATCTGATGGTAAGCAATTGGCGCCACCCATGGACACCTGAAACACCAGAGGCGTTACAAGTGCGTTACCGGTCTTTTGGGAATTGGGAATTTGAGGATTGTGAGGATTCGGGGATTGGGGAGACTCCGGTAACCTCACTCACACGACGAAACACAACACAAGCGTTGTTTCACGTCGTTTTTCTGTGAGGCCGTGGTATCACTCCTCCGTAAACATAATGCAATTTTCCATTAAGTTTTTTGTCATAACAAGAATTAATGTAAAACAAATACAAATAAATTGTGGTTTTACCGACAGTAATGAGCAGTAGTTAATTGTAGTTAGGGGTAGCTTTGTGAAGCGTTTGTCGTTACAAATTTGGGTCAATGGGGTCACCGAGTTGCTTTGTTGATGTAATACAAAGATATTTAGATATTTAAATGTATCTGTGTATATATACCTACTTGGATTATGGAATTTTCCGTGAGTAGATCCATTGCTAAGGTATTTTATAGCTTGACAAATTTATACAACGATACATTTCGAACCTGTGGAGTTTCTTCCTCGTTCTTCTCCATAGGAATCTACACTTTGGAACGAGACTGACTGCCTACCAATTTTTCTTTAATATTTATATATTTAGTTTTAATATCTAAAAATTACGTAAATTATGGATACACCAAAAATCTTCTTTGCTACTTGAATATTTAATTATTTAAACATTTTTGACAATTACGTTATCACATTCTCTATCAGTCAATCACTGGACGATAAACAAAACAAAAATGTTTTTTCTCCCTGTTACACAAGTACTTCATTGGTTTCTGGTAGGTACTTTAATGTTAGATACAAATAAATTAATGGCTAAAAATAACACGTTATACATGTGAATGGGGTCGCGGAGAATCTAACGGGTAACCGGGGCTCCGGCTCGACGAGCAGGAGAAGAAACGGGGTGGTTTTTAGTCAGTAACAGTCTGACACTCCCTCCAGCCTCACCCAGGAAGGCGGGAGCAGCCATTAGATGATCATTCCCCCTTAAAAAATACAGATAAGTGGGGGGGGGGGGTTAAAGTCCTTTTTTATATATATAATTTATATAATTTCAATTGACCAAATTGGAAAATAAATCAGAGATGCCCCAGTACTAGTAACCACACAAATAACGAAGTATTATTTTATAAAGCCTATAAATTCCCATATCATTCCGAACACCTGTGTCTGTCATAACGGGCAGAATGACAGCGTAATCCTCATATTAGACATCATTTTTCAGTATCATTGGTTATTAATTGTACTGAGATTATTCATTTTTAATACGAATGTTTTTTAATAAAAGAAATATATAAGTACTGATAGAGCTTATCGAACGGTGGTTAAAATCGACGCTAACATCCCTTCTCCTCTTAACTATATATTAAACTGTCAAACACCAAGCGGTCACCGGTAACCGCAACCTATTGTTCTATAATTGTGTCTATAATGACGGTACTCGACGAGTTAAGCTACATAGTAAGGCAATCTTTGACAAACTAACTTCAGTTCCCTTAGTTTTAATCAAAAGCCTTTTTTTAGGGGGGACAATCGTCGAATGATTTCTCTCGCCTGGGTGCCGCCCCATTCCTACTCCTGCACTTCGAGTCAGAGCCCCGGTAACCCGTTAGGTTCTCCGCGGCTAATCATAAGGCTTACTAAACTAGCAACATATAATTCTTATTCTCATACCGTAGGTTTTATTTTCTTCTTAATTTGTAAAATAGGTTGATAAACGATCAGGTGGATTATTTGATGGTAAGCAATCGGCGCTGCCCATGAATATAGTAAGGAGAGAGTAGTAGTCCAGAGTAGTTAGAAGTGCGTTGCCAAACTTCTATGGATTCGGGGATAGGGGGCATTTTTTAAGGCGGGAAAATCATCGAATGACTTCTCCCGTCTAGGTGAGGCGGGAGGGAGTGTCAGACTCTTACTGACTAAAAACCACCCCGTTCCTACTCCTACACTTCGGAACACAATGCAAACGTCTCAAACTAGTTTCCTGTGCGTCATATCTTGGATGGCTGGTCAGATTTTAATCCCCAAATAAAATAATTCCCCAAAACATATTCAAAGGTTACCGTTACATAAAAATCCTGATATTAAAAATTCTTAAGGTCGATTTTTCAATGCTCAATTAAATTTGACCAAAGGAATAACTTTGAATATTTGATGATTCTTTCATACTAAAAACTGTCGAATGACAATTTTATTCTACAGTTTAGAATTAACTGATGATTGAAAAATCGACCCTTA